CACAGGATCGGGAACGTTGGAAGCTCTGTCTGACGCGTCTGCCTCAGCGACCCGAAAGGAGAAACGGCGACGAAAGATGAAGATGAAGCGACAAGAACCTGTAAACCTTAGGTTCTTTGTTGCTTATCTGAAGAAAAACCTGACGAATTCTGTCCGCAATCTCTGTGTAAGTGTTTGTACGAAGATACGAATAGTACTGTATTACTTAGCGTCATCGTAACAAGCAAGTCGAACTGTCATTTTAATCGGTACTTCCTGCATGCAATTTGCGATGTTCGAATTCTAACTCAGGTTTGGAAAGCAACTGAGCTGGTTCTAAACGACCTGACAAAAAATGCAATTGGTGGAGCTTCACCGAATAGCATCGGCACCGTTAATGTTCATAAGTTTATAACTCATCCTCTCAAGTTATCTTTAGGGACAGAGCTTATCATGGTCTTAAATTGTCACAATGTCTGTAACAACTACGCTTCCCTGCTGATCTGTCACATGAACCTGAAATGGCGCAAAGCTCAGGAACATTCAAGTAGAACCGTGAAATCATCTATCATTTCACATGATCTGCCCATGGGCATTCATTAAGGTTTGAAGCCAGTGGTGTAAATGTTATTTAAAACGTCGCTGATTAGGTAAATAAAAGACATATCGTTATCATTCCGTTCGCTGAAACAAAGTACGGACAAGCTCCAATTACTGGAATTATTATACTATGCATTTTTATATATTACTGGTACAAGAATCTATTTTTTTCGATGTTGCTAGTAAAGCACAAAAAATTCTGGCTCCGAAACAAAACATGGTAAATATGGCACTCTGCTAGCCAAATAACGATGCGAGATGCATGGTGCTCTAAAATTTTTGATGTTTGTTTGTTGAGATAATCACTTTAAACCGTTAGCATTAGCAGAACATATAACGGTTTATGACGTCTGCTAAATCTGCATCATTTCTACACTGTATAGTAAAGGGAATATTTTTCTCGGAATGAACATCTGCCACTACTGCGTTCCTTTAGGTCACATGCTGGTGTCCAAGTCGAAGTCCATCGAGTTTTGGCTCATACACAAGAAGCTCGAGGGCTGCAATTAACGGTGGGTGCTCAAACAATTAATTTATCAGGATCAACCTCCATTTCATAATCTGCAGGTATGCTGTTTTCACTTGTGCCTGAAAAAACAATGCCATTCCTTGCCATCTAACCCTCATGTACGAAAAATCCAAAGCTGCTGTGCGCAGTTCAACCGTCGTTTCAAATCTTTGGTTAAAACAATTGCTTCCATGCCATACAACAACAATGACTTGAAAGAGGCAATGAACAGGCAGATTTTCGTGACAAGAGTAGCCTCTTCTACAGTGCAAATATAGCACAGATTTCCAAAAGAACTCAAGACGAGAAAGAACCTCCAAATTAACTTTGAGCAGATAATGCTAACACCGAAGATGACAGAGCAGAGAAAATTTAATTGGGTAACTCCCTGAACAGCGTCATCTCGCGGTTCTGTTTGTTCATTGACAAACCTAAGAGCAATGGGAGCCCTAAAACACGGTGTAACTCAGTTCAGTAAAACTATGCATAAGGACGCATTTCGAAAGTTTTCACTTATGTGAACAAGTAGCTCATACACTGGTACTAAAAAAAATCAGACTACGGTGGAAGATTTTAAATATTACGGAGAAGAAGGAGAGGAAAAACTTGGAAGTGGGAGAAAAGCAAGGAGGAAAAAGAGACAAAGAAGAGAACAACTTTAAAAGGAAACCATTCAAAAACGTAAGTGTAATTTGTCATACCTTTCTCTTTAACTTCGATCTCAATCTCTCCCTAATTTGCGGATAATCATCACGACCAAAGTGCCTAGGAAATTCGCCCTTAAACAAAGCAATCAGTAAACAAAAATTCAATATGCAGCGAAATCATACATTTCCATAACCAAACATTTCACAGTAGCAGCAGTCACAGTGCTGCTTTCCATCTCTCGGTGGCTCCGAGCTGTTGATGCTGGACGAATCTTCTGTATCTTCGCTACCTTCAACTAAAACAGAGATGCAAGACAGTTGAAAGTAATTGTAAAAAACTGAAAATACAATAAACAAAGGTTAAAATAAGTGCAGAACGTTTAACAGAAAACTCTGCCGTCAGCGGTCCTAAGACTCGATGACAAAAGAGAAGGGCAAGACCGGTTACACGTTTTCCGTAAAACTTAGAACCTGAACCGCATGGTACAGCAGTCATTAACGCTATACCGGCTCGGTCGTCAGCCGGGTTACCAAAGGCCGCACAGGCTGCTAGGTAAATGAGGCAGACTGCGAAAAGTCAGCGTATCAGAACCTGGTCAAAGCCTTCTGGCAGTCGGGAGCAAAGCAGCACGGCAAACGCTACCGAAAATCAACGAAATGACGATGAAGAAGTAAAATCAGCAATAAGTCGTTACCCGTTTTGAACCGAGGAAACAGACAGCGCGGTACCACTATAGCACATCAGAAAAGGCTCCATGGGAATGACACCGCCAGTGGGAGCCCACAATCAGAAATTTAAATATATCCCCACTCAGAGGGAAAGAGCAGGAGCTAGCTGATAAGATCGCAAGGTACGAACTCGACAGAGTTTGAGTCTCTTCGACGAAAAGAATGGCTCTGTAATTCTGAACCTCTGCAGGTGGAGGCTATTCTTACTCAGGTGTCGATATCACGACGCGCGCTCAGGTCGGTGTTGGTGTTCTGGTAGAATCGAACCTCGCATATAGAATGAATGATTGGAAGCCTGGCAGAGAAAGGGTGATAATCTGATTGAATCTTGGTACAGGTCTATGCGCCCAATTTGGAGGGACAATATGAGACCTTCCTTGAGGAAGCGCAGC